TGCACAGGTATTTTGTATGTATTTCCTGAAGCCATTGTAGTTTGGATTTTAAGAGTCTTGTGAGCTATAAGTGAAAAATAAACATGGAATCTGAAAGACACTGGCCACAGTACTAAAATATTACAGGTACTATATAGAGCATGGTCAGTCTATGAGTCCAAGAGTTCATTCAAAAATTTTTAAAAAGACAAAGCAGAGGAATTGTAGAGTAGAGATCGTGAAAACTCTTTTCACGAGAGAGCCTGCATAATAATACCTGTACAGAATGGTGCTCCCGATTGGCAAGAGGGCGTCGTAAACAGTCAGGGAGTCAGTGATACAGTTGTCAGCTTCGAGCTGGATGGACTCAATTGAAAGACGAATCAGATAGCCCACTACTGCCACCAGCTTGAAGTGACACATTAGCCGCCCTGAAGTTGCAGAAATTTCCAGAGGGTAGCGGAGGGTCAGATGATCTGCATAGAAGTACTGAGAGCAACCTTTGTCTGTGGAGAAAGGACTTTCCTTGTTCTTTCTTTTAAAGAATGACTTCTCTAGAACTCTCCAGAAGAGGAGTGAGTAATGAGCAAAGGTGGTGACATGGAGGACAACTGTTCTCCTTTCCAGTCCATGCTCATCTTTGGTCACAGAACATATCACTGAGACATCGTTCCTACTCTGCCTATTGTGTAGTTAGGGTTAAATTCACTTCTGGTTCCACAAGTAGGAGCATGACCAGGCTGGCCAGTCAAGGAAGTGTTTTCAGGAATGGGCACGTCAATCTGAATAATGACATTAGCTTCTGAACGTCTACAAAAACTTTCAGGAAATATGTGTGCAGGAGTTTTCAGTGTGATTGAGAAAACGATAAGCCATAAGCTTTAATTTGCTACCACAATGGAAGAACACAGTCGAAAACAAAGCTTTAACACAGTAGGTAGAGATGCAGAGTCCTGGTGATATTTCATTTTAGAGCCTGACACCAACCATGCCTGAAGCCAACATATTCCTTATGTGTCCCAGTCATTTAATATATAAGCCAGTCAAGTTTCTTTTGTGCTAAAGTAGTTTTGATATAGTGCTGTCCATTGCAACAAAAACATTAACGGACATTAGAAAAAGAAAACTGCTTAATCCCAGCACTTGGGAGGCAGAGGCAGGCAGATCTCTGTGAGTTCAAGGCCAGCCTGGACTACATAGTGAGTT